ATGAAATAAGTTGGCGTGTAATACGCAGTTTAACGACACCGCGCATAAAACGTTCTAAAATTTCCCGAATAAAGCACGGACGGACTGTCGGAGGTGATGCAATTTAATTGTACGAAAAACAAGGCTCCCGCATGTGTGTAGGTGTGTGCGTATGTGTCTTAAAGTCTTTAATGGAGCGTAATTCTCATTAACACCCATACATAGATGTGTAAATAGACGCCTTAATGCTTTGTAGGTGTATGTGTGGCTTTGAGTCCACGCATCTTCAAGTGTCGTGTATACTGAATGTTCTATTTGCCCTGTGAACTATAAAAGACCACTTCTATACCTGTAGACACGTGGTGTGTAATGTGTAGACATATAGTGATGTATTTCTTTACAGGTGTATGGGTAAATCAGGGGCGTAGATGGGCATCTCGAGGATGGAAGATGTTTCGACATCTACTAAATTTTATTAAGCTACTTTTGAAAAATACCAATCGACTATTTCAATTAGAGTAACGACTTCTAACTATATTCCCTCAATTTATGAAAGGCATCCCCCCTCCCTACGCCTTTGATTTTATCTTCACATTCCTTCCCTTCCATTCCTTAAGAATTTTCCATGACTCTTCATTAACACTCATTTTTGGTGTTTCATGTCAACCAACCAAGTTTAGTAAAGTGCTGGAAGGTAATATTTTGATTACCGTGACATGGCCTGACTGGGTGGGATGGCTGAATCGCTGGTTGGCTGCTAGTATGTGATGTTATGACCGAACTGAGGCTTTTATAGATTTCCTTGTTATATCCGTGAAATATTTGCTGTTGACTTACGTAGACATTCAATTTAAGTAACCAGGCGGCATTTTCATATATCTTCAGGATAAATGCAAAAGGTCAAAAGGAGTGGATTTTTTAAATAATTTTTTTTTCAAGGATGGATAGACCTAAAAAAATCCCTACACAACTACCACGAACCTTAACATCCTGTGGATTTTTATTCGGAACCTGGGCAATATTTCGTGCTAGTTGCACTCTCTTGCCCGAGTAGAGGTCACCTCTTCCATACACTGACATATTTTCCGAATATTACTAATAATCAGTACAGTCCTTCTAATTACTTGTCTAGATTCCCTTCAGAGTGGGTTGTGTTGTGAAGTTCGGTTTATATTTGTGGCCTACAGATCGACTCGAAAAAATCCAAAAAAACAAAAAAAAAAGTTTTCGGTCTACTTCATCTCAAAATTATTATCCGATCATCACCGAAAATTATAGGCGTTGTCCTTGACCATAACTGGTACTTCAAGGAACATTTCAATGCGATCAGCGATATATTTTCGCCCTCCAGTGTGGTAATGGGTTACTAAATAGTATCTGAACACGTAAGCACCTGTAAATACATATGTGTAACTCCCACATCCGAATACATACGACAATATAATTCATATCAATTTAAAGGTCAACCACTCCTCTTGGACATATTATCAACTTCTCGGGACTATGTCCCCCAGGGGCAAATATATACGCCATAGAATACAAATTTTGTAATTTGTCACACAAAAGTCGGGGTCCATTTGACCCGCTAAATATTGACCGATCTTTATCAAAATACACATGCTTATTCTTTGGTCCAATCCTCTTCTCCTTGTAAAAATTCGCGGTGTTTGGGCCATAATTGCGGCCTCTGGAGCGACAGGAAAAACAGACAAAAATTAAGTATTTGCTCCATTTCACCCCCTAAATATTAACCGATCCCATTCTACATGCAAAATTTCGTGAAGATTGGTCCAAAACTGCAGCCTGTATCGTGTTTACAAATTATAATGAACAGACGGACGGACACACATGTCTAGATCGATTCAGCTAGTCGAGATATGACTATCGATATACTTAAACGTGGGTCTAGGACCAATATTTCGCGGCATTACAAACATTTGGGGCTGCACAAAGCTATAATACCCTGACAGTTGTGTAGGGTATAAAAATTAACGCCTATAAAAAGTCTCGAAAAACATATAGACCTGGAAAAAATATTTTTAGAAAGTCCTCGCCTATGTATAGACCTGGAAAAATACTTTTAAAAAATCCACGGTTATGTTTTTTTATGCACACCTATATATAGACCTGGAAAACTATGTAAAAAAACCCACGCTTATGGATAGACCTTCAAAAAATCCGCGCATTTAAACAATATTTTTAAAAAAATCCACGTTTATGGATATACCTTCAAAAATGCACGGTTATGGATAGACCTTCAAAAATCCCCGACTGCTGCAGACCTCGAAAGAATACTTACTTACGTTCCATAAGCCGAGCGCATCGGTCTTTTGCGCAGTTTTTCCAATTTGAAAGACCATTTTCGGCGATATTGTCTTCGACTTGATCTTTCCAACGTATTCATGGATTTCCACTTCTGCGCAAACCATCAGCTGGTTAACTTTTATATGCCTTCTGGGCTGTGACATCTTCATCCATTCTCACAGCATGACCTAGCCAACGTAGTCGCTGCAACTCAATACGTCTAACAATGTCGATGTCCGAGAATAGCTGGTACAAATCATGGTTCATTCGATGGCGATATTCACCGTCAACACAGATCGGCCCATAGATCTTTCAGAGAATTTTTCTCTCAAACACTACAAAAGCTGCCTCATCTGCTTGCGTAAGTAGTATCAGCGTATTGTAGAGTGTGAGTTTGGTCTGGCGAGAGGTGGCCTTGCTTTTGAATTGTTTGCTCAGACCATAGTAGGATCGGTTGGCCATCACTATCCTTCTCCAAATTTCAAAACTGATGTGATTCGTTTTGTTTATGGCGGTACCAAGGTATATAAAATATCTGACTACCTCGAAGCTGTAGTTCTCAAGTTCCACAGTTCGTCCGAGTCTACTGGACGACTTGCGCGTTGATACCATCAGCTTGGTCTTCTCGCCGTTTACTACCAGACCCACTTTGACAGACTCCTTCTCAATTTGTCCAAAGGTGGATGTTACCGCTCTCAATGTTCGACCCATTATGTCGATGTCATCGGCGTAGGCGAGTAACATGTGTTCTTTGGTGTACAGAGTGTCATTTCTGTTCACTTTTGCCGCTCGTATCATCTTTTCCAGCAGGATGTTAAAAAGGTCACACGACAAACTGTCACCCACTTTGACAGACTCCTTCTCAATTTGTCCAAAGGTGGATGTTACCGCTCTCAATGTTCGACCCATTATGTCGATGTCATTGGCGTAGGCGAGTAACATGTGTTGTTTGGTGTACAGAGTGCCACTTCTGTTCACTTTTGCCGCGCTTATGATATTCTCCTGCATGATGTTAAAAAGATCACACGACAAACTTTCACCTTGTCTGAATCCTCGTTCGGTATTAAATACTCCGAGAGGTCCTTTCCGACCTTAACTGCTGATCTTGTGTTAAAGTTATCCTGCATAGCCGAATTAATTTTGCAGGAATGCCAAACGCAGACATGGCTTTATACACCTCTGAACGGATAGGGCTGTCGAATGCGGCTTTATAGTCGACGAATAGGTGGAATGTGTGGAAGTATTTTTCATGATTTTTTTCCAGGATTTGGCGCAGAGTGAAACTCTGGTCAATGGTGGATTTGCCAGGTCTGAAGCCACATTGGTATGTTCCAATAATGTCATTGACCATTGGCTTCAGTCTTTCACACAGTACGCTGGATAGCACTTTATATGCGATGGGAAGGAGACTTATGCCTCTATAGTTGGCACATATTGTCTTGTCTCCTTTGTTGTGCACAGAATGCTGAGGTTCCAATCATTGGCAAAGAATATTTTTAAAAAATCCACGCCTGCTGTGGGCCTTGAAAAAATAAGTTTAGAATTCCACGCCTGTTGCTGACCAAAGAAAAAATACATATATGTTTTATTTTTCAAGGATTATGAGAATATATTTTTTACAAAACGAATATTATTTGAAACCTAATTATCTTGCACAAGAATTCGGATAATTACAACAAAAGTTCTCCCATGGCTTTTAATTCAACATCTGAAAAAGTATGCAGATATATGTAAATATTATGTACGCACGTAAAACTTTTGTGCACTGATTTCCATATAAAGCAGTTCGTACTTGCACCCAGGTAACATATTTTTAATTATTTAAATAATACCACACATTTTCCACACAATTTTCCTGCTCGAAATGAATGTTTCTACCAAATTTGACATTGAGAAAGAGAGTCACACAAACACACACATACTCTCCACCGAGGCATAATTATTTATTAAGCAAAACGTTTCGGTAAACAAAATTAGCTTTTGCACAAATTAAACTTAAAATTCAAAACATGTTCACACACACACCGATACCGACAACAACAGCAACACCACCAATACATCCACAACTCAGTTGGTCCTTAAAGCTATAGCAGTACAGGCGATGTTGGCGTGCACGTACATACATACATATTGCTGTCACAAATAACAACCGTGTAAAATGTATGTTTACAACAACAACAACCGTCAACACCACGAACAAAAACAACAACTACTACAAATACAACTGTTGTTACATTTCCCAGAAGTATGTTTAGCTTTGGGGCAAGCAATGGATTTACTGGGAAATGGTGTATGGCGGAGTTTATTTTTATTTATTCGCAGAATTTTAATAAAACGTAAATATTGACAGGCATTTAGTTTGGGATATTGAGAATTGAATTCGGTGGTCAATTTAATTTTGGACGATGGAGTAATAGATATGGTTCTTTTCAAAATTGATAAGAGGCGACTCTCCTTTATATCCCGATAAATATTTTCTCCAACAATCCATCCAAAGCTGATTTGTTTTAACTACAACTATCGTAAAGTAGAAATCCTTGACCACATTTCTGATGACCTTGAGTGTTCTTGCCTTATAATAAATATTTTCTCTAATTGCTTTTATTCCAAACATGCTTATATAAGTATTTCCAAAAAATTCTGCAGAACACCACCAAAATTAATGAGTCAATTAAAGCAATACTCTATATTTATATTCGTTGTTTCTATCTTTCCAGGATATGCCCATAAGGAGTGTGAAATTAATGGTGAATGGTATAAACATCCGTTAACTAATAGATCCTGGTCTAATTATACCACCTGTGTAAATATCGAAGACTTAGAGGTGAGTATCTAAAGAAGAACAAAAAAAAAAACATAAATTATCGGCCACTTTATTTATTTACTAATAACATGTAATTTATTGATGGTGTAGATTTCTCCGATTCCGGTAATTTATTTGTTCACTTTGCAGAAGGTGAATATTTAAATATTATTTGTTTTCTTTTAAAAATCCACGCCTTATGGGAGCCTTGAAAAAGTATTCTTTAAAAAATCCACGCCTTATGGGAGCCCTGAAAAAGTATTCTTTAAAAAATCCACCCCTTATGGGAGCCTTGAAAAGGTATTCTTTAAAAAATCCACCCCTTATGGGAGCCTTGAAAAAGTATTCTTTAAAAAATCCACGCCTCTGACAAGCCTTGAAAAAATATTCTTTAAAAAATCCACGCTCTGACAAGCCCCTCCTTGCCGCAGGTGCTCCACGATCTTTTTGTTGACCGCATTCATCACCTCATCATGCGTCTCCTTTTTTAGTTTACCGGATGCGCTACGTTCATCGATTACTGCATAGCAGAGCTCGTCCCTGTAACGCTTTCTGGCAACCTTTGCATAAGATGGCGGCTCCTTACCGATTGTTGCTACTGCCTTCCTCTTACGCGAAGACCGGGCGTTCCTTTTGGGATTCCCAGTATTATCGGAAGATTTCGGTGTAGCGCCCGTCTTCTCGATATTAGAGCCAGCTTCGCCAACCTCAGTCGATGGATTCTGTGGACAGCCTCCTTGACTAGGGGTCGTGCTTAGCCTTCTCTTGCTATCGGTCGACCTGAAGCTCTTTTTCTTCTTTGCAGGTTTGGCATTGGTCTGCTCCTCCGGAGACCTAATCCTCTTCGCCGCTTCCGAGGAAGTGGAGGGAAGGTCAGGCTTATCCTTCAGGGCATCCCGTTCCTGTTCATCCTGGCCGGTTCATCCTGGCCAGTTTTCGCCTTTGTGCCCCAGATAACTGCTTTCTTTTTGTTGTGAGCTTTGCTATGTCCTTGCTCACTTCTTCAACCATCCTATCGGCCTCTTCTCTCTTCCGGCATTCTAGGACGGTTATATCGGTCTTACCTTCTTGGTCAGACCCGGAGTTAGAATTCGAGTCCCCACCTGCCTCTGAAGGTTGGGTCAGGATTTCGCCACCCCGGTGGTGACTGAAGTCTACCTTATTTGTGCCTGCTGGCTGAGTGCTTGTAGCAATACCCTCGACTACAGATGCCAAGGCACCCACATCTGTAGGAGATTTTTGCTCACGATCGCTGGATGACGACGGGGCGTGACTCGTGGGCAGATCAACGACACCCGCCGGTACTGAGTTATTTAGGCTCTGCACCGTAACTTTTATTCTTTCTTCCTTACTTTCCATCTTTTGTTTTTTGTTTTAAGGGAACACCCCCGTAGTCAGTTTTGGTCCGCGGGGCAAAAGCCCTAAAGTGGGGTGATCAGACTATTCCATTACCTCCAGGGTTTAGCTGATAGTAATGAGATAGTCTGATCATCCAACTTCCCCCTATCCGCCACCTCGGGACGCCTCAGATAAGCCTTGAAAAAATATTCTTTAAAAAAATATTCATTAAAAAATCCACGCCTCAGATAAGCCTTGAAAAAATATTCTTTAAAAAGTCCACGCCTCTGACAAGCCTTGAAAAAATGTTTTTTAAAAAATCCACGCCTCTGACAAGCCTTGAAAAAATATTCTTTAAAAAATCCACGCCTCTGACAAGCCCTGAAAAAATATTCTTTAAAAAATCCACGCCTCTGACAAGCATTGAAAAAATATTCTTTAAAAAATCCACGCCTCAGATAAGCCTTGAAAAAATATTCTTTAAAAAATCCACGCCTTATGAAAGCCTTAAAAAATATTCTATAAAAAATCCACGCCTTATGGGAGCCTTGAAAAAATATTCATTAAAAAATCCACGCCTTATGGGAGCCTTGAAAAAGTATTCTTTAAAAAATCCACGCCTTATGGTAGCCTTGAAAAAATATTCCTTAAAAAATCCACGCCTTATGGGAGCCTCGAAAAAATATTCTTTAAAAAAATCCACGCCTCTGACAAGCCTTGAAAAAATATTCCTTAAAAAATCCACGCCTTATGGGAGCCTTGAAAAAATATTCCTTAAAAAATCCACGCCTTATGGGAGCCTCGAAAAAATATTCTTTAAAAAAATCCACGCCTCTGACAAGCCTTGAAAAAATATTCCTTAAAAAATCCACGCCTTATGGGAGCCTTGAAAAAATATTCCTTAAAAAATCCACGCCTTATGGGAGCCTTGAAAAAATATTCCTTAAAAAAGCCACGCCTCAGATAAGCCTTGAAAAAGTATTCTTTAAAAAATCCACGCCTTATGGGAGCCTGGAAAAAGTATTCTTTAAAAAATCCACGCCTTATGGGAGCCTGGAAAAAGTATTCTTTAAAAAATCCACGCCTTATGGGAGTCTTAAAAAAGTATTCCTTAAAAAATCCACGCCTTATGGGAGCCTTGAAAAAATATTCCTTAAAAAATCCACGCCTTATGGGAGCCTTGAAAAAATATTCCTTAAAAAATCCACGCCTTATGGGAGCCTTGAAAAAATATTCCTTAAAAAAGCCACGCCTCAGATAAGCCTTGAAAAAGTATTCTTTAAAAAATCCACGCCTTATGGGAGCCTTGAAAAAGTATTCTTTAAAAAATCCACGCCTTATGGGAGTCTTAAAAAAGTATTCCTTAAAAAATCCACGCCTTATGGGAGCCTTGAAAAAATATTCCTTAAAAAATCCACGCCTTATGGGAGCCTTGAAAAAATATTCCTTAAAAAATCCACGCCTTGTGTTGAGGGGCTTTAGTGCATTATTTACCTAAAATCGGACGAAAACATATATGGGAGCTATATCTAAATCTGAACCGATTCAAGAAATTGTACACACATTGTTCTAGACCTAATACAGTGCCTTATGCCGAATTTCGTGCAAATCATATATAAGGGCTTTGTTGCACCAGTTACATAAAATCCACTTTTTATGGGAGCCTTGAAAAAATATTCTTTAAAAAAATCCATGAAAAATATTCTTTAATGAATCTACATCTCATTAAATAGATATTTTTTTCTGTTTTGAAATATTTATTTTTTATTTCCTATTCTATTAATCTATTATCCTGTTTCTCTTCCATTTCATTACAGTGGCAAAGTAGTGTTAATCTAATCTATGAAATTGGCTATGGCATTTCATTAGTTGCGATACTCCTTTCATTGGCCATCCTGTGCTATTTCAAGTAAGTATGAAACCCCCCTGTGTTAACCGAAGATTTATGGCGTACTATGCCTCTGGTAATTAATGACCCGACAAGCACTTGACTCAACTCAACGCAACTATTTCGATCAAAAGGATAACCAAATACCAAAACTGAAGAAATTAATGTTAATTATTTTTACATCAGCAGTTATTTGTTCTGCCATTCCATTGCAGGTTTATGTGCTTGTTGTGAAAGGATCAACAAGGATGTCGGCCGGCAATAATTTATATTATTAGTTGTTTAACCATAATTACAACATAAAATGTTGAATAGTCGGGCTTCGAGGAGCTTAGCTAGGCCAAACAAGAAAAAATGTTGTTCAAAAGCGTTTAAAGAATTTCCATTAATTTCCCTTTTTTGTCGGGATGTTTGAATGAATGGATGATGTGAAAAATATAAAGAACTACTCATTTCTCTCAATTAAATTTTCAATGAATTTCTTTAAAGCAAATACCAATAAATTCAAAAAGAAAAATTGAAAAACGAAAAAATCAATAGCATTCCGTTTTTATAGAGAAAATGAAAAACAGGACCCTCCTTCTGTGGTCCACCGTTACGTTGAACTTTTATTTTTGCAGCTTTTGTTCTCTCGACTATCCATTTTTATGCAGCTGATGATGCACTTTTGACCTTTGTCAGGAAATATTTCAAGGATAGGGTTGGCCAACCACGACGAAAGATTTTACAATGGGAGCCAAATGGGGTAGGACAATGCCACGAGAACCAAGGGGTGGAAATTAATAGGTGAACATTACTTATGGTGGAAAATATATCAGTGGTGGGTGGGACACCGCTACTAGGGGAGAAAACTTAAAATTTTTGGAAGAAATATTTTTTTTTGAAGGAACAATAAGAGTAGATTTTTTAAAGAATATTTTTTCAATGGTTCAAAGAATATTTTTTCAATGGTTCTACAAGTCGTCGATTTTTCAAAGAATATTTTTTCATGACTTCTATAAGGCGTGGATTTTTTAAAGAATATCTTTTCAAGACTTCTATAAGGCGTGGATTTTTTAAAGAATATCTTTTCAAGACTTCCATAAGGCGTGGATTTTTTAAAGAATATTTTCTCAAGACTTCCATAAGGCGTGGATTTTTTACAAAATATTTTTTCAAGACTTCCATAAGGTGTGGATTTTTTAAAGAATATTTTTTCAAGACTTCCATAAGGCGTGGATTTTTTAAAGAACATATTTTCAAGACTTCTATAAGGCGTGGATTTTTTAAAGAACATATTTTCATGGCTTCTATAAGGCGTGGATTTTTTAAAGAATATATTTTCAATACTTCTATAAGGCGTAGATTTTTTAAAGAATATCTTTTCAAGACTTCCATAAGGCGTGGATTTTTTAAAGAACATATTTTCAAGACTTCTATAAGGCGTGGATTTTTTAAAGAATATTTTTTCAAGACTTCCATAAGGCGTGGATTTTTTAAAGAATATCTTTTCAAGGCTTCTATAAGGCGTGGATTTTTTAAAGAATATCTTTTCAAGGCTTCTATAAGGCGTGGATTTTTTAAAGAATATCTTTTCAAGGCTTCTATAAGGCGTGGATTTTTTAAAGAATATTTTTTCAAGGCTCCCATAAGGCGTGGATTTTTTAAAGAATATTTTTTCAAGGCTCCCATAAGGCGTGGATTTTTTAAAGAACATTTTTTCAAGGCTCCCATAAGGCGTGGATTTTTTAAAGAATATTTTTTCAAGGCTCCACACAAGGCGTGGATTTTTTAAAGAATATTTTTTCAAGGCTCCACACAAGGCGTGGATTTTTTAAAGAATATTTTTTCAAGGCTCCACACAAGGCGTGGATTTTTTAAAAAATATTTTTTCAAGACTTCCATAAGGCGTGGATTTTTTAAAGGCTTCTATAAGGCGTGGCTTTTTTAAACAATATTTTTTCAAGGCTTCTATAAGGCGTGGATTTTTTAAAGAATATTTTTTCAAAGCTTCTATAAGGCGTGGATTTTTTAAAGAATATTTTTTCAAGGCTTCTATAAGGCGTGGATTTTTTAAAGAATATTTTTTCAAGGCTTCTATAAGGCGTGGATTTCTTAAAGAATATTTTTTCAAGGCTTCTATAAGGCGTGGATTTCTTAAAGAATATTTTTTCAAGGCTTCTATAAGGCGTGGATTTCTTAAAGAATATTTTTTCAAGGCTTTTATAAGGCGTGGATTTCTTAAAGAATATTTTTTCAAGGCTTCTATAGGGCGTGGATTTCTTACGCCTTGATAAGGCGTAAACTTTTTAAAAAATATTTTTTCAAGGCTTCTATAGGGCGTGGATTTCTTAAAGAATATTTTTTCAAGGCTTCTATAAGGCGTGGATTTCTTAAAGAATATTTTTTCAAGGCTTCTATAAGGCGTGGATTTTTTAAAGAATATTTTTTTCAAAGGCTTCTATAAGGCGTGGATTTCTTAAAGAATATTTTTTCAAGGCTTCTATAAGGCGTGGATTTCTTAAAGAATATTTTTTCAAGGCTTCTATAAGGCGTGGATTTCTTAAAGAATATTTTTTCAAGGCTTCTATAAGGCGTGGATTTTTTAAAGAATATTTTTTCAAGGCTTCTATAAGGCGTGGATTTTTTAAAGAATATTTTTTCAAGGCTTCTATAAGGCGTGGATTTTTTAAAGAATATTTTTTCAAGGCTTCTATAAGGCGTGGATTTCTTAAAGAATATTTTTTCAAGGCTTCTATAAGGCGTGGATTTCTTAAAGAATATTTTTTCAAGGCTTCTATAAGGCGTGGATTTCTTTAAAGAATATTTTTTCAAGGCTTCTATAAGGCGTGGAATTTTTAAAGAATATTTTTTCAAGGCTTCTATAAGGCGTGGATTTCTTAAAGAATATTTTTTCAAGGCTTCTATAAGGCGTGGATTTCTTAAAGAATATTTTTTCAAGGCTTCTATAAGGCGTGGATTTCTTAAAGAATATTTTTTCAAGGCTTCTATAAGGCGTGGATTTCTTAAAGAATATTTTTTCAAGGCTTCTATAAGGCGTGGATTTCTTAAAGAATATTTTTTCAAGGCTTCTATAAGGCGTGGATTTCTTAAAGAATATTTTTTCAAGGCTTCTATAAGGCGTGGATTTCTTAAAGAATATTTTTTCAAGGCTTCTATAAGGCGTGGATTTCTTAAAGAATATTTTTTCAAGGCTTCTATAAGGCGTGGATTTTTTAAAGAATATTTTTTCAAGGCTTCTATAAGGCGTGGATTTTTTAAAGAATATTTTTTCAAGGCTTCTATAAGGCGTGGATTTTTTAAAGAATATTTTTTCAAGGCTTCTATAAGGCGTGGATTTTTTAAAGAATATTTTTTCAAGGCTTCTATAAGGCGTGGATTTTTTAAAGAATATTTTTTCAAGGCTTCTATAAGGCGTGGATTTCTTAAAGAATATTTTTTCAAGGCTTCTATAAGGCGTGGATTTTTTAAAGAATATTTTTTCAAGGCTTCTATAAGGCGTGGATTTTTTAAAGAATATTTTTTCAAGGCTTCTATAAGGCGTGGATTTTTTAAGGAATATTTTTTAAGGCTTCTATAAGGCGTGGTTTTTTTAAAGAATATTTTTTAAGGCTTCTATAAGGCGTGGTTTTTTTAAAGAATATTTTTTAAGGCTTCTATAAGGCGTGTTGTTTTTAAAGAATATTTTTTAAGGCTTCTTTAAGGCGTGGATTTTTTAAAGAAAATTTTTTTTAAGGCTTCTTTAAGACGTGGATTTTTTAAAGAATATTTTTTCAAGGCTTCTATAAGGCGTGGATTTTTTAAAGAATATTTTTTCAAGGCTTCTATAAGGCGTGGATTTCTTAAAGAATATTTTTTCAAGGCTTCTATAAGGCGTGGATTTGTTAAAGAATATTTTTTCAAGGCTTCTATAAGGCGTGGATTTGTTAAAGAATATTTTTTCAAGGCTTCTATAAGGCGTGGATTTCTTAAAGAATATTTTTTCAAGGCTTCTATAAGGCGTGGATTTCTTAAAGAATATTTTTTCAAGGCTTCTATAAGGCGTGGATTTCTTAAAGAATATTTTTTCAAGGCTTCTATAAGGCGTGGATTTTTTAAAGAATATTTTTTCAAGGCTTCTATAAGGCGTGGATTTTTTAAAGAATATTTTTTCAATGGGTTTATCTTTTATACCCACCTTATTATTCACGATTATCCTTTTGTCCTTACCATATCCATGATTTTTTTCTCATGCTGTATGCATGTGTGTCTGTGTGTTTGTATGGTTGCAAAGTACAAAAACACTGACATCGTATTACACAAACGTGTGATACACGTTTACACACACACATGCACACAAAGCCAGCGGTAACTCATATTTCAATGAAAGAGAATTCCTAAGTGCACTTTTCACACTAAAGGAAAAGACTTTCTACGGTTGCCGTTGTTATAACAGTTTACACATGAACAGATTGGACGACTAACGAGATTTGGGGAATTGGGCAAGAGAATTAAGATGTGCGTTGTATTATCTGGTGTAAGTAAATGTTGTTGGTTTTACCATTCATTTTACTAAGTGCACTTATTGTGGGTGATTATGTGAATAAGATATAATTTTATTTAAGTTAACGGTAAAGATATATAGGATACAGAAGTTACCAATACAAGTTTTCCAATAACAAACCAGTAAGGAAAGTCCAAAAGTCGGACGGGGGGAGGACCATTGAGATGAAATCAGGCGAAATTAAATGTGCTATCTAGATAAATATTGAAAAACCCCATACACATACCATTCTGAAGTCAATGAAAAATTGCACGTCAAACGGACAGACTTGGATTCTTTGGTGTACCATTTGTATGTAATCGAGTAAAATTATGTATATAAACACATGGACCTAATTGACCAACCTTTGCATACACCATTTGTTTCTTGTAATCAAAATATTCAATTTAATATCCTCTGCCAAATTTCGTGTAACCACCATTTACATAAAATCGAAAGAAACTATATATATAAGACCTATACCAAAATCTGAACCGAT